TCAGGGCCAGGGCCCCCTGGGCACATACTTTGGCCATTTTCTCTGCGATAGAAAACTCACCAGTCCAGGATCCTGATGTCAGTTTGTAGGACTCCCTTGGCACTGTACTGGCAGCACAAGTTTGAGTTGGGGACAGCTTCGTTCTGGGAGCTATTCTTTGATGTTCCTATTTGTTGCAGTCAGCCTCCCACCCGGGGTCAGGGGGTCCTGAGTGCTAATTCCAGCCTTTTCCCTGGGAAAGAAATCACACCAGTCCAGGTTCCTGATGTCAGTTTTTAATGCTCCCTTGGGTCTATCAGGGCAGCACCAGTTTGATGTGGGGGCAGCTGGGGTCTGGGAGATATTCTTCAGTGTTCGTATTTGATGCAGTCAGCTGCCCGCCCAGGGCCAGGGGGACCTGTGCGCTAATTCCAGCCTTTTTGCTGGGAAAAGAAAGCTTACCAGTCCAGGTTCCTGATGTCATTTTGTAGGGCTCCCTTGGGTCTCTCAGGGCAGCACAAGTTAGAGGTTGGGGCAGATGGTGTCTGGGTGATATCCTTCAATGCTCATATTTTTTGCAGTCTGGGGCCTGCCCAAAGCCTTGGGGTCCTGTGCTGTAATTCCAGCTCTTTTCCCTGGGAAAGAAAACACACCAGTTCAGGTTCTTGATGTCAGTTTGTAGGGCTCCATTGGGACTATCAGGGCAGTACAAGTTTGAGGTGGGGGCAGCTGGGGTCTGGGAGATATTCTTCAGTGTTCGCATTTGATGCGGTCAGCTGCTCACCCAGGGCCAGGGGGACCTGTGCTCTAATTCCAGCCTTTTTGCCGGGGAAAGAAAACTCACCAGTCCAGGTTCCTGATGTTAGTTTGTTGGGCTCCATTGGAACTCTCAGAGCAGTGCAAGTTAGAGGTGGGGACAGCTTTTTCCTGGGATGCATCCTTTGATGTTTCGATGTTTTGAAGTCAGTTGCCAGCTCAGGGCCAGGTCCCCCTGGGCCCATACTCCGGCCCTTTTCCCTGGGAAAGAAAACTCACCAGTCCAGGTTCCTGATGTCAGTTTGTAGGGCTCCCTTGGGACTGTGAGGGCAGCACAAATTTGAGGTTGTGGCAGATGGTGTCTGGGTGATATCCTTTGATGTTCTTGTTTGTTGCATTCAGGCGCCTGCCGAAGGCCAGGGGGTCCTGTGCTCTAATTCCAGCTCTTTTACCTGGGAAAGAAAACTCACCAGTCCAGGTTCTTGATGTCATATTTTAGGGTTCCCATCGGACTATCTGGGCAGCGCAAGTTTGAGGTGGGGACAGCTTTTGTCAGGGATACATCTTTCAATGTTTGGATTTTTTGAAGTCAGGTGCCAGCTCATGGGCAGGGACCTCTGGGCACATACTCTGGCCCTTTACCCTGGGAAAGAAAACTCAAAGTCCAGTTTCTTGATGTCGGTTTGTAGTGCTCCCATGGGACTATCACGGCAGTGCAAGCTTGAGGTGGGGACAGCTTTGTTCTGGGATACATCCTTCGATGATTGGAGTTTTTGAAGTCAGGTTCCTGCTGAGGGCCAGGAGCCCCTGGGCACATACTCCTGCCCTTTTCCCTGGGAAAGAAAACTCACCAGTCCTGGTTTCTGATGTCAGTTTTTAGGGCTCCATTGGGAGTATCAGGGCAGTACAAGTTTGAGGTGGGGGCAGATGGGGTCTGGGAGATATTCTTCGATGGTCATATTTGTTGCAGTCAGCTGCCCACCCAGGGCCAGGGGGTCCTGTGTGCTAATTCCAGACTTTTAGCCTGGGAAAGAAAACTCACCAGTCCAGGTTCCTGATGTCAGTTTGCGAGTTGTACTTGGGATGTTTAAGGTAACCCCTGATTAACATCAGGGCAGCTTGGGTCCACAACACATCCTTCTGCATTCAGATTTTCAGTGGGCGGCCCTTCTTTCATGGCCCCTGGGTCTTGGACTCTGTCACTGGCCGTATTCTCTGTGAAACATGGCTCACCCTCTACACTTTCTGGTTTCAATTTCAAGGAGGTGCTTGTCTCTTCCGGGGCAGGCAGAATTCTTGGTGGGAGCAGTTTTGCTCCAGGATAAATCCTGTGCCATTCAGAACGAAATTATGTAGAATGTCACTTGCAGCCACAGACCTCGTGATCCAACCTCTGCCCTTTTTCCCTATAAAACCAACCTCACCCTCTCTGTGTGTTGATGTCTCTTCACTGGAGGTGTGCTGCTCTCTAAGGGCAGCGAGAATTCCTGGTGTTGGCAGCTGTGGTCTGTGAGAAATCATTCACTGTTTGCAATTTTGGTAGCAC